GTAGATCAAGGGTAGTAAAATATCTATTGCCTTTGCCGATTTTGTTGAACAAGTGGTCGATCCTTGGCATTGCAAGGGTCAAGATCGACTAAGACCTTGTTGAGAGTTCTTTAAAGTTAGCAACGACACGAATCGATCCGTTTTTCTTGCGTACGGCAAATCTAGGGCTATTGAAGCCTTTGGGGTCGCTGCAGTTTTCAATGATACCTTCATCAGCCATACGCTTAATTTCGGTATCTCCGTCTGCTTCCAAGGCCTGGGCTATCGGGTGTTGTTTCTGGCTGCGAGACTGGATGGGTCGGATGAATGTTCCTTTGCTGCTGCTTTCGGTGCCGATAATGTCAGCGTAGCGAATGAGTAAGTTTGCAGTGGCCTCTAGTTCGTCTCGGTTCGGGTGGTTTGGTAGCGATAGTCCCGTGTTATGTTTTAGCCAGGTTAGCTTTTGATCTAGTGTCTGGATGTTGGGCTGTAGTTCCATAGTAGGCTGGTTTTGGATGATGTCAGCTTGGGCGCCATATGCTGGATCGTTGGTTGACGATGACGGTGATATGATTGCGGCTGTGTGTGTTGTATATCCTGAGGAAAGTGTGCGTCTGAATTCTATAGTCGCATTTGGTTGTCGATTAGATAGGAATCGAGCGTGTTGTGACGTAGGATATTTTGGCCGATCAGGATTCGTGTGGTTTGGGTAGTTACCAGCACGTTAACCTTTTTGAATGTGGGTGAGTCTCGACTGCCGATGGTGATGTCGCAAGTCAGTTCGCCGAGGGCGGTGGTGCTGCCGTTGATTCTTTTTACTACGACGTCGGAGCGGGTCATGAGTTTCTTGGCTTCTCTGGGTAACTGAGATATTGGTACGATGCAGGTGGAGCATCCAGAGTCTAGCATTGCGACGCCAGAGAAGGTGATGTCCCTGAAGTTGAAGGTGGACTGGACGAGCGGTGAATGGTGAGCGAGTCCTTGAAAGTTGAAGGTGTGATGGCTGACGTAGGGGCATGGCGAACGAGGCATCACATCTCGTCCTGCCCGAAACGAAAATCCTGTTCCACATCATTTATGGCTTGTATATTATCATTCGTTGCGGCGATATGAGCCTGTGCCCGAGTGTGAGGTGGGTGGCGATATATGCAGTTGCGTCCATGGTGGCAGGGGCGACCTCTGAGGTAGTTCTTGCACACGCTGATTCGTGGTGTGTGCTGATGGTTTCTGCGTATCGGATGGTGGCCATGTTCGGGAGGGTTGGTGAGGCCCGTCTGCTGTGGGTTTGGTTGCCTGCTGGGTCGGAGTGGCGCGTTTTTTGGTTTGACCGCTGTGGTTTCTGTGTGAAATACAGTGTCGTGCGAAGTTGTGTCGTTGATTTTACACCGCGATCAAGGTATATTTGAGCTTCGGAGGCTATGCCAATGGCTGAATAGTGGTTGTCCATTGTCTTGACGAGATGTGGGTAAAGATTTGAGTTCCAAATTTTCACCTTTTCGCTCATTAGCATAGCGCCGATGATGGAAATAAGTCCATCGACTGTTAAGTCTGTATTTTTGTCTTTTTGTATTTGTTTTTTATGTGGACGGCTGCCTCTAAGGGTGTTTTCGAGTCGACCCGCGAAGTCTGCTAATTTTTCGCCGTCTCGCAGTTCCAGGTCCCAGGCTTGACTGAGGTGTTGGAAGTTAGTCATCTGGCTTCCGTGGGCTCCTAATAAGTATTCCTTCAGTTGTTCGAAGTTGGATATGTCCTTTTTGAGTCAACCATTTGCTGAAAATACTTTGGTCCAGTAAATCTTTAGCAGACTTGACGAATTCGCATTTTGGCTGGGATAGGTGCTGAGTTCTGGCGTGACGTGGATTGTGTATGCTTTGTTTAGGGCCGTGATGAATCGGTTCACGTCGTGTCCAGGGTGAAAAAGTTCTCTCTAGCTCCAATATGTCGCGTATGGTTTGTTGGCGCATCATTGGGCGGTAATCGCCGTTTGTTTGAGCGGTGGAGGTGTTGAAGCAGTTGATTTTAGGGCAGTCAGCATGTCGTTTATGTCGGCTTGAATTTCCTGTATCGTGGCTTCGGAAGGCTGTGTTGGTCCCGTTTTCAAGTTGAATAGTAATGTTTTCTGTTCCTTGATGAGAGTAAATAGTTCGGCTCGGGTGAAGCTCGTGTAGTCATATTTTTCTCTTGCTGTACGCTTCTGACACCAGTGTTATAGACAAGCGTATGGTTGCAAGAAAGAAATACGACAACAGTAGAAATAGATTTACGTGGTTTATTTCAACAGGAACGTGAGGGTTTGGGACAGCTACCTTGTGGTAAAGTTCATAAGCCGGCTTTCGGATCTGGTCGATCTCTCATAGTAGTTCACACATGTTGACGGTGGTTGACGCTCCCCTGCTGCTGATCGCTCGGCCTGACCGTCAGGTCTGTTCGCTGGCCACCTGTTGACTGCCTGTTGAACTTCCGTGTGACTCCTTTTATAGCATTTTTTTTATGGCTTAACAGGCTCGAAAAATTTATTGGACGAAAAATAGAGCACTTTAAATATTATTTTATTTTTCGACCGGAACACGTGTGTCGGAAACATTTGTAAAGAAAGATAATGGTCATTTTGTGATGGGGCTTTGTCCCGTTTACATCCGGTTCTCGCTCTTGAGTATTTGCCTGTAAATGGTGAATGGGGTTTTAATCTGGTGAGTGGAGGATTAATTTTGGTCAAAGTCAGTGTTCCTGTTTTATATTGCCTGTGTACAATGCAACTTCCATTGCCTTGCTGAAGCAAAAGGTCACTTCTAGGAAACATGGTGAAGACAGACTCCAGTTTAATTAATAGTTTGTTTTAGCTACAACAGAAAATATCCTATACAATTACAAAACCAATACCAGCTTTTATAAGACACTGCCAACTGATTTCATAGTCTCCTGCAGTATTCTCAAAACACTAACTCTATGCCTGAGAGAACAAGAAAGCAGCACTTATGAGATGACACAGCATCAGACTTACATGGTCCAATAACGACCTTTTCTAGAGCAGGTGAAATGCAGTAATTAATGCCATGGTATCAATAATAGCACATTTATTAGTAATCAACTATAAAACCCCATGAAGTGCACTGTGTATATTGTACAATGTCTTGAATTGGTATCAATGTTGAATTGGGATGTGAATTGATACAATTTCCCCTTTTATAGGGTTGTTTCTATATTTGTCACTCAATATCAGTTGCATGCATGGTCCAAGAGTGCTCATAGTTTTCAAATGCTACTGATGTCTGTCCAAATTTCACATATTTCTTGTATCCCCTAGAGCAATTTCCACCTCAGATATAGAATGCTCAACAATAATTCTGCAGTGAAACATGTTAAATCCTATTCTAATATCCAATGGCCATTATAGATACACTACCATTTTATTTATTTATCTATCTATCTATCTATTCATATCTATCTATCTATCTATCTATATATATATATATATATATATATATATATATATATATATATTCTTTCTGAGTCTTTTCTACAAAGGCCAAACAATCAAGTGAACTACTGTCTCTAATTTTGGGAGTATTTCAGTTCATTGTTCCCTAACTAGGAATTTACCCCAACTCGAATCCGTGAACTGCATACTGATTACCCATCAAGTTGGCGGATGACTTGAAACTGCAAGGAATTTTCACGAAAATCATGTTGAGCATTAGTTTTATCAACAGTTATTAGTTGCTGACCTTTTTCTTCAATATCGGTATCAATTATCGGAAAAAAATCGATAACATCATGCCACTTTTGACTTCCAATTCAAATCCAGTCAAGGTGATTTTTGGCTATATTTTTCGCAAATGGCGAAAAATTTCCACCAAAATTACGTTGAGCATTGTTTTTATCAATAGTTATGTGGTGCTGACATTCATTTTCAATATCGATATCAATTACTGGAAAAAATCGATACAATCAATCACTTTGGGACATCCAATTCAAGTCCAATCTAGCTGATTTTTGGCTATATTTTTTGCAAATGGCGAAGAATTTTCAGCAAAATTCCCGTTGAGCATATTATTTACCGACAGTATTGAGGTGCTGACTTTCATTTGAAATATTGGTTTCAATTATCGGATAAAAATCGATGAAATCATACCCCTTTTGACTTCCCTGTACATCGAGTTTACCTGAATTTGGCAATGTTTTTCGCAATTTGCTTGGGATTTTGATTAACTTTATCGGTTTTAGTCGTGACAATTAAAGACTTTTGCCTTGTGAGCTCCTTTGTGACCAACTAATACCTGAGTGAAGTCGATACAATCATGTCTTCATCGGAATTTGCAAATACACCAATCAAACGTATGTTCAACTGAGACGTCTACACTACAGACTCTACAGCTGATTGTTATTCACACACACGTGACCATGCTTCACATAGCGGTATCTCATTGGCTGAGTGCAGTACACAGTTGTTGATTGGTGTTCGAGACCCTAGGATGCTCGCTGATTGGTACATTTGAACCTGCTGTGCACAGCTGTGGGATGAAGGTCTCACTTCTGCTCCTGTTACACCACCATTCAGTTGATACGATAGGCTCCTTCAACTGATCATTTCTCCTGCCACAAGTTGTTTTTTTTACGTTTTTGTTTTCCGTTTGTCTGTTTAACTACATTTTTCCAACTACCATAAACAATTTATTCATCTGTTTTATTTAAATACCTGCCTTCCCAATTCTGGCTCACGCTTTGCGATACTAAGTTAGACTTTGTACTACTCCTGCAATTGAGCAAACCTAATCAACCACTACAAGCATCACTTTTCCCCATGCCGCCAAAAAGGAGGGTATATCTTAGCCTTCGGTCTGCAAGAGCGTCCACTATGAGGACAAGAAGGGCCCGCGAGTCCCAAGAGCAGACTACAATGTGACTATCACAAGTCGCTCAATGCAGCGCCCTCACGCAGGCCTCGCTGTTACAAGAGGAGTGTGCCACCTGCTTGGCTGGGAAAGCTTTTTACAGGGCTTCTTTTCGATCAACTGTTGCGAATGAAAGCACAAGCTGCAGCAACCACCTCTGCACCTAGGGCTTCCGAGACTCATCATCAAAGGCTTCTTCATAACGCAAGAAACGCTGCTGCCACTGCAAAATCAAGGGCAATAGAGACACTTGACCACAGGCATGACGGTCAATCCAGGGACGCTGCTGCAACAGCGAGAGCTAGGGCTGCTGAGACACTGCTTCATATGTCTGTGCGAAATGCCATGAATGCTGCCACCATTGCCAGGTTGAGGGCAGTAGAGACACCTGCCCACATGCGCGCCCATCAGTCCAGGGACGCTGATGCAACAGCAACCGCTAGGGCTGCTGAGACTCCGCTCCGTAGGTCTGTTCGAAATGCTACAACTGCTGCCACCACTGCCAGGTCAAGGGCATCTGAATCATTTGACCACAGGCGTGTCCGTTAATCCCGGGACGCTGCTGCAACAGCAACTGCTAGGCCTGTTGAGACTCCGCTCCGTAGGTCTGTTCGAAATGCTAGGAATGCTGCCACCACTGCCAGGTTGAAGGCAGTTGAAACATTCAACCGCAGACGTGCCCGACAATCCAGGGATGCTGCTGCAACAGCAAGTGTTAAGGCTGCTGAGACACTGCTATGTAGGTTTGTTCAAAATGCTAGAATGCTGCCACCACTGCCAGGTCGAAGGCAGCTGAAACATTTCACCGCATGCGCACCCATCAATCCAGGGACGTTGCTGCAACAGCTAGGTCGAGGGAGTCCGAGACAGAGCTGCAGTGGGCAACCTGCAATGCCCGCAACGCTGCAGTGACTTCTGCAGCCAGAAACTCTGAGGGCCCACAGCCAAATGGCGCTGGCAACAAACTCCCCAACGGCTGCTACAAACATGGCCGCTTTTTGGTCTTTCTTGGCTTTCAATTACAACCCCGGCATTAAATTAACTATGCAGGACAGCCTCAATGTAGGGTCCATGACCTGCGTTTGCCAATTCTGCAATGCCCACAAATGGACCAAGTATCCTCCTCCGGCAAAGTTCGACTGCCACCTCTGCATGAACCACCTACCACGCTGAGGGGACTAATAGCTGGCTCACATCCCGACACCAATCAATTCCTTAAAACAATTAGGCAATACAACAACTCCTTTCAAATGACCTCATTTGGGGCTCAGGTGGTTCGAGAAGAGTGTTATATGCCCACTTTCAAAGTACAGGGGCATGTATACCACCACATTGGGTCTCTGCTGTCTGAGGAGACCTCTACGCCTAAATTCCTTCAACTGTACTTTATTGCGGACTACAACCTACAGGCCAAAACCCATATTAGTATTTTGCCGCTGCTGGGTAGAATTACTCGCAGGGACGTCATACTACTACTTCAGGCCATGCTTCACGAGGTTAACAGCTACATTCGCAGTTTCAAATATGCTTTGTAAAATGCTCATTTTCCTTCCTTCAGCATTGTGATTGACGCCAACAAATGGCCTCATGATGAACACGAACGCCACTACAATGCTCCTACATGCAACGATGTGGCCGCTATTATATATGGGGAGCAAGACCGCACTCGCGATATTGTCCTCAAATCAAAAGGCGGCACTCTTCGCAGGATTTCAGAGACCCATCGATCATATGACGCATTGCAGTACCTTTTACTTTTCCCTTATGGTGACGATGGCTACCACTTAGGCATTCCCCGTCATACTCTGGGTGGCCAACATGCAATGTCTTCCAAAGCCTTATCGTGCAAGGCCTTCTACTCATACCAGTTCATGGTTAGGGATGGATACTTCAACCTGCTTCATAGATGCAGGGAGCTTTTCCACCAGTCTGCTAAGATGAAATCGGAGGGGCTTTGTTTCATGCGGAATCATCAGAAACAGCTGCGCTCAGACTCCTACGTACACTTACGCGACAGCCTTCAAAATGAAGTCAATCCCCATGACCTAGGGAAGCTGTGCATTCTGCCCTTTACCTACATTGGCCAGGGGTGGGGGTGGGGTTTGCGCGTTACATGCAGGAACGCATGCAGGATGCTATGACATACATTAGGCCATATGGACGGCCAGACTTATTTATAACGTTTACCTGCAACCCCAAATGGGTTGAGATAACACGTGAACTACCCGGACAGAATTACACTCACAGACATGACATTACCGCCCGCGTATTCCGCTTAAAACTGGGAAAACTTATAGACTTAATAGTGAAGTGACAAGTCCTACAGTGAAAATGCAACCACTATTTTACATTGCCAGAATTAAAAATCTTGACCAGTTATGAATGGATGGTAGTCTTCAGGTAAGCACAGAGCAGCAACACAGCAGCCACCTATTGCAATTGGTTGCCCTTGATCTCATTGATTTTGCTATCAGAGAGATTCCCAGCCTATCAGTGACCTCAACAATTCCGGATACGTGCGTAAGTTCAATAATTCAAACCCCATATAATATTGTTTCAATGTCGACGTCAGACGTTTCAGTCTAGTAGACCTTCTTCAGGACATAGTTATTAAAACATAATTAAAATT